GCTGCTGGTCAGAGCACAAGCTTCCGGTTCTAGAAGAATCGGTTCTGAGGACCGGACACACAGCATGGCAACTCTAAGTATCGACACTGCTTTGTCCACTGGAGTTTCGCCAAGACAGTGAATCAGAAGCATTCTTACCACAACAGAGTAAGAATTACTGGTCACCATGTGAAATCCTGGTGTGTCAATAACCCACCTACCGTCATCATTTCACAAAGCGCTTACATCAACTCATCATGTTGTACACTTAATAGACCATCTTACTTGCCAAGAATCGCTAAATGGCCACGAACAGGGCTGAGAAGCCAACGTAGCTCCTTTCAAATTCTTACTCTGATTAACCCAAAAAATAGAACCTTGAGTAAAAAAACCTGGATGTCTGCCAGATTTCCTTCTTTGACCCACTTGCCTTTAGATCTCGTGAGACAAATGAACTAGGAGAAACAATGAAAGCCATCACAGCGATGTCGAAAGCGTTCTGGGCAAGGCCACGCTGGGGTTCCTACGTGGACAGCAGGCAGCCTGACTGCACTGAGGCACGGCCGGAGGTGGCAAGTGGGTCCACAAAAGCAGGCTGCTCTTCAGGGAAGCCTTACTATAAAAATGAGAGGGATGCCATGGCGACAATGACAGGAAAAACATTTAATTGGGCTTTTCCTTAGTTTTTAATTACTGGAAGATCCTGCGACATAACTATGAATCTAAAGGAGGAACCCAACAGAAAGACCGTGGAAATGGGAGATGGAAACGTGAGGCAGAAATCCTTTGACAGGTGGCAGTCAGTAGAGTATAGAGAGGATGGAGGAGAATTTAGCTTCGGGAGGGAAACAGACGCATTTTCCGGATGTAACAAAAGCTGTGCATAGATAGGAAAAAACGGTTTGTTGTTGATTTTCTCTGTTAGGTGGAGGCTGAAGGCATTCAAGCCCGGAAACTTACTTTGTCAGTGAAACTGACGGCAAAAGAACCACTAAGAGAGAGATTCAATATGGAGTGTGGGGTCATTTACGTAAAAAGTTGATAATGATGCCAGGCCCTCTGCCATAGCTCTTTTTGGAAAATCAGACCTACCTTGAACCCTCTGGATTTACAGCTCATTTTCTAGGAAGGAAGACCCTCTTCTTAAATAGCAGGGTACCCCATGTCTTACTATTTAACAGATCACAGAGACGGGAAGGATGAATGATAACTAAACAATATGAAAGTTGTATGGCAGTATTTAACCACACAACAGTCTAAGCAACGAATGAGCAACGTTTGGGAATGAGTTAATTTTGATCTACCAGTTTAAGCCCCTAGCACAAATTAAGCAGTATGTTTTTGAAATCATTTCCTACCTCAGTTATGACAGAACTGTTGGTTTCTCACATTTACTGGCCCCACCCGTTAAAATGACCCAGTCCCACAGTACCCATTAGACACGGCCCGTGACACACTGTATCCAACAGGCACAAAAATGATGAACGTCAGATGTTCAAACGCAAAAGGCCAAGGACTGAGAAAACATTCAGTACAATTTCCAGTAATCATCCCCTTGTTACTGAAGTGAAACAATGATAAAGCTTTTGCTGAGCCTCGCTTAGTCAGTGACTACGCACCTGCTAATATTTTCCCTGTGCCTTCTGATTTCAAAGAGTAAAAATACCTTGAAAGGTCTCCTAGTACTAGGTAACAGAATTAATTCACCGTTTTGTAAATAAAACTAATTAAAATGACATTTTAGCCTTCTGTTGTCCACTACTCATTTTTTGTAAACACGTTTAATAGATGCCCTTTGTGGAGTAAGGTTTATTAAATAACTCTAGGACATGGAATATCAAGTTGTACCCTCCCAAGGAAAGACAAGAAGTCTGAGATGATTTATCAGTAACACAGGTATATTATTTTCTCGAGTAGAAGCAACCTACAGTCCTTTATTCAATTAAATTATTTTCCTAAAATAATTAATACCAAATTCAAGGGATATGTTTCCGATGGTTCCAAACACACCGGACTGTTGAAACGTGCAGATTTGCCCCAGCTTGGGAACTGGTCATGGGGCAGAGTAATGTAGCACCTGTGACCACGTTGCAAAATCAGATGTGAAAATTCAGAACCCTGCAATAAATGTTTCTTTTACCCAAAGTCATATGAGAAAAGATGGGAGAACTGAGCAAGTCTCCTCAGAAATGGTTCCCAGCGCAGTCCCGAGGCACAAGACAGCAAGACAAGCCTACCATCCCTCCCTCCACAGACACGGGGTTGCGCAGATTCTGAGTGTATCCGTTCTTCAACATATAGATGCACGGATTTCCCTTTAAGGAGAAAGACAGATAAAACAAAGTTCGCACAGACCAGCTGACGACTATGTTGTGACCAGAGGCTCACGGGAACCGAAGGCTGCACTTCCTCAGGAGCCGTGGTTCAGCATTCACTAATGCGGTGTTTGTGGTGACCTTAGAGAACATAACTACCACAAATAACAAGAATCGAGTGTATGTTTCTTAACTATCTTCCCAAATTCTAAATATCAGTTTGAAATCATTGTTTTTAAAGGGGAACGAATGTATGATATCACGGTGAGAATCAGGGTGTCATCTGTCCGCTCTGGGGACTTGCCATTCTGTAGGAAGTCTGTCATTCGCAAGAGGACAGCAGACCGGGGGCTCAGGTTATGACACCAAATCTGTCCCTGCCCCTACTCTGGGGCCTTCAGCACAGGGCCTGGCCTCTCTGGGCCTCTGTCTCTCACCTCTAAAAGGCAGAGAAAGCTAGCATCTATGCAGTAGGGTTTCAGGAGGGCTAAGTCAATTTATCATTATAAAGCAAATGTAGAAACGTATCGGACACATAGGAAGGTTGTGCCAAAGTCAATTATTAGTATCTCTTGGAGTTTCGTAGATCATTTGGCAAGATTACTGACAACGTTCACAGTACCTGAGCCTACTCCATGAACACGAACCTTCTGCGATCCAATTAAAATAGCAATGTTCCAGTGTTGCACAGTATTTGATAGCAACACACACAACCACACACATCTCTACTCCACAAAAGCTCATAACACATAACTATCTCTCACCTCACTGAAATTGTTCTTATTATGATTTTCTAAGAGACTTGAAAAAGATGATTCCAGTGCTTTTAACACAAATGCCAAGCCTCTACTCCTCAGGCCAACAAGTGGGAGTCATCTGTGATCTGTGTTCTTTCTCTCAAGCCCTACAAACAACCCCACACCAAATACGGACAACTTGACCTTCAAACATCTAGATGCGGGTCACCTCCCACCACCGCCACCACCACCATAGCGTCTAGCCTGGGGAGTGACAACAGATGGCTCCCCCATCCTGCCCCTCCTTGTCCGCTCTCAACAGAGCAGCCAGAGGGATCTCCTCCAACAGAAGTCCGATTGTGTCACTTCTCCACCCAAAACTCTCCAGAGGATCCCTGATTCACCTGGGCTGAAAGAACACGGGGAAATCCAGTCATGACTCACTCACATGTCCCCTTCTCCATGAGGCCACCCCTTAATACCCTCCACTCCTCTACTCCTGTCCTTCCCACAGTTCTCTGTAGTTGACATAACTGTGTATTTCACTCATGTGCATATTTGTTCTTTCCGGCTTCTCCCCAGGAGAATGTAAGCTCCAAGAGGCAGGGATTTGTGGTTTTTATGTTCATGGCTGACCCTCTTCATAAAGACCAGAACACACTCAAATACTTATACAGCCTCTTACTCAACCGGAATCTTTGGAAAATGGGAAGAATATTGGACATGCAGCACTAACACCAAGTACAGTGGCACTTAATCCTGGAAGTAAAATAAATCTCTCTTTTGAGGTTGTAAACAGGAATACATTCCTGCTACAATTTTTGTGTCAATGGGTTTCATCCATATTTATTTGAAAGTGAATTATTCCTGTGGATAGATGGCTGGGCTGGCTATTCCACGGTGGCAAGGAGACCACTCAGACTTGCTTAATCCACTAATCAAATCTCTCAATGGTGCCCTTACTTGACGTGCTCTTGTTTGTTCTTGCCATTCTCTCTAAGGTAAACTGTCTTTTTATTCACTGGGTAGCATCTAGAACATAGGGGTCATTCAATAAATATTTGAATGATGAATAAGCTGTAAGTTCTTCAAGGGCAGGAATTATGTTAAAAATAGTAATCAATAAATATTAATTCAATGATCAGTAAGTGAAGGTCACTGCAGAATATAACTGTCAGAAATACAACTTTGTACCTGATGTGAGAAAAGAGTCACTGCAGAACCATGAACATGTTAATTTGGATACTATAGATTTAACTCTATGATCACACATGAAATAAAACTAGCTTCTATTTCTTAATTCTGTCTTCCAAAGAAAAGCAACATAATCAGACATTGAGATGTGCATGTTTTCTAAAACTCCTGCATAATTTCTTAAGAATCTTTGTTAAGGTAAATTCACCAGAAAAAAAAAATCCCAACTCTCATTTCTGAAATAATTAAAGTATATTGTGAGGATCAATGCTAGGATCTAAGCTATAATCGAAAACAACAGCAACAAATAACTCTAGTAAAGTTTTATACTTAAAGTTTTCATTTTCTTATAAAGAAATGCTATAGACACTGGTTTACTAGATGTGAGCAAGACAATAAGATTCAGCAGGTGCCATTTCTCTTTACTGTATGCCTAGTTGGCTAAGAATTAAGAGAACGGATTGAAAGAAACACCACTTATGAAACCATTTTAGTTAGGATTCACTTGCAAAGTATTAAGGCATATAATTTCCCGGAAAAAAACCCAGCGGAGTAGAGCTCCACACGACATCTACACAATCTGTTTTATGAACTCTGTGACCCACAACCTTAGTCTCTAATTATCTTGTAACTCCAGGAAAATAAAGGATAACATACATACATATTTTTTTATCAATCAAAGTATTACATATTGTGAAATATTAATAGTTAAACATATAGCCTTTGATATGCTGTCAAATCTTCAAATGGTAAAAAACTAAATTGCTTTACTTACTAATACAAGCAGCAGGACAATATCAGGGTTATCACAAGCGCAGGCGATGTGCATTGGTGTCCAAAAGTCTTCATCCTGGTGGTTGACATTGACCCCTCTGTCAATCAGGATCTCTGCAATGAAGGCATTGTCATACCGAGCGCACTGAAAAAGAGAGAAAAAAAAAAAGAAAGAAATGTATTTCAAACGATGATAAGGTTCATTGCAAATGTCCATAGATAAAGACTTCAATGCCAATTTAGAGGTTGAGAGATGGGACTAACGATGCTCCAGCTAACCTACAAGCTAAGGGGCATATGGGGGTTGGAGGATTCAAAGGGAAATGGCATCCATAGACAGTAGAAATAAAAATGAGAACATAGGGACAGACATTAAGAAGGAGGAAAAAATTTCAGTCTTCGGGTCCTCGTCATTTGTACAAAAGATTACCAGAAAATCTCGGACCACTTGCCAGAATTATCTTTCTGAAATACAGATCTGATCATATGAGCCTTCTGCTCTAAAATATACATATTTTGTCATTCAATTTTGTTGATGAATAAAGTTTTACCCCTTTATTGCATCCAAGACAGATAAGACCTGTCATGATCCTTCCAAACTCATCCCCCATCATCCAAATGCAGCCTTCAGCCTAGCTGCAAAAGACAAGTCAGTACTCCATGGTGCCATCTTGGAACAGTTAAGTATTAGTAATTTCAGAATCTTCTAACATGAATTTTAATTATTGTGTTTTATAGAAATTTCATAGTCTACTAAATCAAACTCTCCAGGAACTTGTTTTGCTCTTATTCTCTATTTATTATTTATATGTAAAATTTATAAAAAATTCAAAGTCGGGCTGGCTCCAAGGGTACACAATCCCCATAGTTGTGCTTAGGCGGTTCCTGCATTTGGTTTAAGGCTCCGCTGTTGTCATCAAGAATTTTCAATAATTATTGAAGAGTCCCACATATTCACTTGCCCTGGACCTTAAAAATTATCCTGTCCTAGTATAAGTCTGATATTTTATATCTATAAGCTACATCAGTTCCAATGCATATTAGCTAAATTAGTATTTTTTTAAAAAAGACCTAAGCTAAATAAGCTAACTACAGATCAGCAAAATTTCTGGGTTGATAGATACATATTTCCCATAGGATTTGGATGCATCCAACAGGTTCCCCTCCCACAGAGAAGTAGTAATCAATGCCATCATTGGAAATAGCATCGTCAATGTATCAACTATTCCTGGACCAGACAATTAAAAACAAATCACGGGAGGGCTTTCCCTTTCAAGTAACAGGGCCCAGACTGGCATTCCTGCCCAAATTAACTGCAACGAAAGAAAAACTCTCAGACAAAATATTACTTCCAAGAGCTGGGAAGAAACAATGCAGTCCTACTGCTACTGTTATTCCAGCTCCCTGGCTTGAAGGACTTTCCAAGCTGCAGCACAGTGAGGAGAAACCCAGTCGCCCAGGGCCACTGAAGAGGAGATTGAACTGAAAGTCCAGAGACTGAGCTGGCCAGGATACAGGACAGAGTCACAGAAAGAACAGGGCTACAGAGAGAAAGGGGACTTCAAAGGTCTTCTACCCCCACCTAGAAATACTAAACTCAAGTTCTGAAGGGCTCAAACTGCTTCCAAATAATTCAACACCCCCCAAAGAGAGCTCAAGGTTATTTATAGAAATATAAAAATATTCAGTACCCAACAAGGCAAAGTTCACTATGGCAGCATCCAGGAAAAAAATGACCAGATATACAAGACAACAAGCAAACAGGACCCACAAAGAGGAAAGAGAGGGACCAACGGGAGCCAACTCAGAAGCAATACACTTGTTAGAATGAGCAAATCTGCATGTTAAAACTGTTACAATAACTACATTCCATGTGTTCAAAAAACTGGGAAACTGTTGAACATGGTAAGCAGAGATATGGGAGACAGCAAAGAGACTCAAATTTAATTCCTGGTGATGAGAACTACCAGGGCGGGGATGAAAAATACACCAGTGGATGGGATCAACAACAGACTGGCTATTGCAGAAGATAAGACTAGTGAACCTGAAGATGGTAACGTAGATTACGCAAAGCAGGACAGAGCAATCAATGACTTTCAATAAGTGAACCGAGCATCGGTGAACCATGGGAAATCTCCAGACAGTAACCAAATAGACTGATAGTGCCGGGAATCGGGTTTACAGAAATTGATTTATATTTTCATATTATTTAATTTGCATTAAAATCAGTAATTACAAGATAGCCAGGTTTTAAAATTAGGTACAAGGATTGAACTGGTATTTCACCAAAGGAAAAAAAAAGACACATGAATTGTGTTTCCCAATTATGATGCAGTCATGGAAGAACATTCCTATCTTCCTCCAGTACCTGGTGGTCTCAAAACCATATGGTGAGCACGGTGCAAAATCATGGTTCAGGTTCCACATGAAGGAAGATGCGGAGGCATCTATATTGGGATGCATGGAAGCACCTGGGGCAATGGCACACGTGAACTTGGAGGGATTAGTTCCGGTTTTGAACCATGACGTTTGCCTTTGTGAAGTACTGCGTCCTGTGTAACAGTAACGAAGACGCTAAGACCCCTAGTCCCATCCATGGGAGCTGCAGGTTTGGGTCCAACGACTAATAAGATGAGTCTAAAGGCTCAATAAATGGGTTTTAGAAATAGGGCCTGGATCCAATTTCTTTCAGGAAATTCACATGCCGGTAACACGTATTCTGCTGTCTCTATCTTTTTGATAACTCATTGCATAATCAACAGTGATGGGACCTCCTCCTTCCCTGTCTGTCAAGACCCCCTCAGCCCGCACCTCAGGAATCCACATTTACAATTCAAAGTTACCTAAGGTTTGGCTCTTTCCTGTCTTTTACCAAAAAAGAGTTAATTAGATACAGTGTGGAAAATGGTACCAGCCTCTCTCAAGTAATGTAATTTTTAGACTCACATTTCAGAGGATCATGAATAATAATTTGACAGCAATAAATACCTTCTAATCACACTTGTCTGAAAAGATTACGATAGTTGAACATTCCCGTTACAATGTTCTTACAACATTATCGTTAGATAGTAAACCTCATTCTGACTGGAAAGAATTTTCTTCCAGCTAGCAAATCTTTCTCCTGATTTAGGCCGTTCTTCATCATTTCAACCAATTTCTGGCAACAGTTCACTTCATCAGGAAGGTGGCTGAACTGCCACTACGTCACCTTCAGAGAGCTCTGAAACCAGCAGTCGTCTCCCCCGATCCTCCTGTCACCATCCTCTGTGTCTCTAAGGTACAGGCAGTACAAGCTACATAACTAGTGGGACCCAGTGCAAAATGAAAAAGTGGGGCCCCTTTTTCAAAAATGACCAAGAATTTGGGGGCACCTGGGTGGCTGCGTTGGTTGAGCATCTGACTCTTGATTTTAGCTGAAGTCATGATCTCGGGTCATGAGATAGAGCCCCATGTTGGGCTCTGAGCTGAGCATGGAGTCTGGTTAAGATTTTTCTCTTCCTCTGGCCCTTCCCCTCATGCTCTCTCTGTCTCTCTCTCTCAAATAAATAAATACATCTTTTTAAAAAATGACTAGGAATTTTAAGAGGGTGACAGCAGAGCATGGAACCAAGCATGGGTTCAGTGGAGCCTAAAGAGATCATGTGGACCCCGTGCCCGTGAAGCTGTCCTTGAACTGCCAGATCTCTTCATGCACCCCCCCACCCCGGGTCCCTCAAGTCCGCACACCGCGCTTCCTTCCAGCAAACCCCTGGAACCTAGTGCGTTTCAAATAAACCCTCCTCACCTAGAAATGTCCATAGAACCTAAATCTATTTCTGTGGAAACACCATCTCTCCTGCAGCCTCCTCCACGGAGCAGGTAAATTTCTTCCATCTGGCCCTGAAAAAGCTTAGCCACTTTCTGAGCTTATTGATTTTTTTTTAAATTTTTATTTTTTAAGTAAGCTTTACACCTCAGCGTGGGGCTTGAACTCATGACCGCGAGATCAAGAGCCCCGTGCTCCATGAACGGAGCTGGTCGGATGCCCTTGAGCTTACCGATTCTGATAGACTCACTATTCATTCACCTTAATGTGCTAATTTCGAAGAGTCACTCTATCCTTACATCCTAGCCCTCTTCTCCCAAAAAGGTCGCTCTCCCCTTTCATCAAATTTAGGGACTACAATCACAGTCGTCCCACAGTGAGCACATCAGCCACGCTGGGTTACACACCCTCTCTGAAAGTGTAGAATGCCTTCCCTCTAGGCCCCCAGAAACCTCCACCACATTATACATTAGTCACCACCCCCTGGCTTGCCACCCTGAAGACTGGCTCCATTCTAAATTACTAAATCCCAATATCCCAATCGTGATCAAAACATTCCATTCTGCCTCCTAACGCATACTTAGGGAGCAACACCACAAACAACTCCTTCCTCCAACACTGTTTATTGAGTTGCCTAGGATTAGTGAGAATGAACACCCTCCACAGTAGCCAGCAGTCCACAGCTTCTCAGGGAATGCATTCTTTCACTGTTTGGAATCGTTTGTAAACAAAGGTAATTAATGTCTCTCGATGTACAAACTCAATACAATGCATATTATTGATTCAGCTGAAAAGACCCTAAAAACCATAGAAACCAAATAACAGATACAATTTTAAACTTTAAATGTTTTGTCTTTTCCCTACATCTTGTCATAAGGGATCTTTTATGTATTTTAGTTTTTTGGTTGGCTAATGACCATATCCTGAACAACTCTGAAATCTATCACTCAGAAAATTCAACGTTTTTTACAAATGCTGAATTCTCATATTAAATTCCTTGTTCACACATGGAAGTTATCTTTTGCAAGTTTTTGGTTTTCTTTTTTAAAACATGGGTCAAACCTGTCACTGTTTTCTCACTGTCTATATATTTTCAGGGCACACTTCCCTTTTTTGCTCCTCTGCGCGGACTTCACAGCCACCAGGGGGGGAGAGATTAGCAAAGAGTTACCAGGACAACATTCAGTTTGATCCAGATATCAGTTATCGAGTGGGTATCACGTGCTAAGCACAGTTCCATTATTAAACAAAAAAATTCTCTCTGAACTCTCCGGAAGTGGTGAGAAGAGGGGAAGCAACATGACTTATGCATGAATTTGGATTAATCATTGTCCATTTTT